CTCCCCCCTCCCGCATGAGCCCTTGATAGTTTATAAATGGGTATTTTGTCATATCTTGCCCTGTCCTACGTCTCCCTTCATCCACTTTTTGGTTGTCGGCCAGGCCATTCTTCTGAGGCATGTGTAACTTCATGCCCGTGCCTCCTAGATTACTGTCCCCTTCAGAACCAAACCCACTGCCATCAAGCGGTTAGTGGGTATGAAACACCGACCTTGAGGTGACCAGGCCAACGCTTGCCTAGAAGTGCTACAAAGGCTGTACCTTCTACCTTCCACTACCACCTAAATGCAGCTTGACTTTAGGGACCAACTTGGACTGCAACTTTCCCTCTCCACGCTACCAGTAGTCCCCTCCACTTATTGCCTCACTCCATAACCGCCCACTCGAATGTTCTGAGGTAAAGGTCTAAAGACATACATGAGGTATGAGCCTTAAAGCTTCTCTCCCAGGTCAAGAGCTCAAGAGGAGACACCATCTATGACTATGAATGCTCTGAAAAGGATCATATTAGAAGACCCTGGATAGAGTGGGACAAAAATTGTATAACAAAACTCAGAATGATAAGGGAAAAAAACAAGCGTTTTGGTCAGAGACAGGTGGAATCCCTGAAACTACGGCCCTTTAAGCCTGCACACCATCTGGGAAACCCTGGTCGCATAGTGATTGCAAATTCAGCTGCAATCCACAAGGTCCATAGTTCAAAACCACCAAGGGAGAAAGATAGACCTTTCCACTGTCATAAACAGGGACAGTCTTGGAAACTCACAGAGGCAGTTCTGCTCTGTCCTATTGGGTCATTATGAGTTGGCATCAACGCCATAGCAGCGAGTTTGGTTTTTTTTGGTTTGGGCATCCTCTAGTTCAGTGGTTCTCAACCTGTGGGTCACGACCCCTTTGGGGGTCAAACAACCCTTAACCCTATCACAGTGGTTGCTTAAGACCGTCGGAAAACACATAATTCCAATAGTCTTAGCAACCATAACACCGCTCCTCTATCCATCTCCAAGCCGGTCTGCCCATGTGCAGATACGCCTTCATAGGAGTAACCCGGCATGAAGACTGTTTGCCATGATACCCCATGCTTCAAGACAAAATTTCATTTATTTGTCTTTAGAAATAAATATTTCACAATATAGAATTATAGATTGTTTTGTGATGAATCATGCTTTATGTTCAATTTGTAACAATGAAAATACATCCTGCATATCAGATATTTACGGTACATTACGATTCCTAACAGTAGCAAGATAGCAGTTATGAAGTAGCAACGAAAATAATTTCTGGTTGGGGGTCACCACCACATGAGGAACTGTGTGAAAGGGTCCCGCCATTGGGAAGGTTGAGAACTGCTGCTCTAGTTCTCCTGGTCTCGGCTGTCGAGACTGACGGTTGCGTGATCTATTAGTTCCCTGGTCTAATTGTGTCCAAGGGTCTTCCAAGTGTCATCACTCTTCTTTCACCTAGATGGGGAGAGGCCAGTAGTTACATCTTAGCTGGCTGGGAGTCCAGCCATACTCACCTCTGTTGCCTGCAAGGCCCAGTCACTACTCACCAAGGTCAGCTGTAGAACATTGTCTTTGTGGACTGTGTGGTGCCAATTGACCTTGCTGCCTCCAGAGACTATGATTCTGAGCTTCCAGGCCCAGTGCCTCATCCTCTCAAGGTATTTGGTTATGACTAGGAAGTGTTCACAACTTTGCCTGCCCGTGGCCTCCCCCTGCCCCCACCGTATGCTCTACTATGTTCATGGTTTTACCTACAACCAAAAAAAATCAAACTCACTACCAGAGTCAATGCTGACTCAAAGTAATGCTGGGTTTCTGATACAGTAATTCTTTACAGGAGTAGAAATCCCCATTCTCCCAAAGAGCAGCTGGTGGTTTTGAACTGATGGCCTTGCAGTTCTCAGCCCAGTGTATAACCGCTACACCACCAGGGATATAACTGCTGCATAGGTAAATAAATCCCACTGCCTTCAAGTCAATCCTGACTCATAGCAACCCTGAAAGGACAGAGTAGAACTGCTCCCTGGGGTTTCTGAAATTAAATACTTTTATTTTTTCCCAGTCATTTTATTGGCGGCGTTTTTTCCCCTGAAGAATATTGTTTATTTCTTATTTCATTGTTGTCTGACTAAACAATAACAAATTCCAGCATTTATTTGTTATCCATTGATTAAAAAAACACTTTTGTTGGGGGCTCTTACCTCTCTTATCCCAATCCATGTTCATCCAGCGTGTCAAGCATATTTGCACATATGCCGCCGCCATTATTTTCAAAGCATTCTCTTCCTACTTGAGTTCCTGATATCAGCTTCCCATTTCTTCCCCCTCCCTCCCCTGCCCGCCATCCCTCATGAACTCTTGATAGGTTATAGATTATTTTTTCCATATGTTACATCGTCCTCCGTCGCCCCTCACCCACTTTTCCGTTATTCGTCCCCCTGGGAGGGAGTTCTAGATTGATCCTTGTGATTGATTCTCCCTTTCTCCCTCCACCCTCCTTTAATCCTCCTAG